CTGAAAGACAACATTTGGTTTTGAACTGAAGTTTTATTGATCGATATTTTTTTAAAGAGGTTGATTACTTGCCTCAACAAATAATTTAAAAATCCTAGCAACCTACTGTCTAATGAATTCTACATACTCAAAAATTAAAAGTTTTCAACATCAAATGATACACCAAAGGTTGCAAAGATAAAGGGATACAATTATTACAACTATATGCGAGTAATAAGTTCCTCTCCGACTTTAACAGTATACTGCAAGTGTGCAGTGTACATAGTTTAAATATTCATCTCCTACTTTAGAAATTAATTTCCTAGTTTAGAAGTGTAATTAAAATCTGTCGTAAAATGCTCCGGACTATCAGGAGAACCCGGAGCAGTTGTAAACACTAAACAATTCTCAAACTTATCCAGGAATACAAGAATACAGGGAACCAGGGAAACAAGGATATAGGGATACAAGGATACAGGGATACAAGAATACAGAGATAAACGGATACAGAGATACACGGATGCAGGGATACAAGGATACTGGGATACAAGAATACAGGGATAAAGGGATACAAGGATACTGGAATACAATAATACAGCTAGGCTTACGGGATAAAAGGGATATAGGGGTATAGGGATACAGGGAAACAGGAATACAGAGATATAGGTATACAAGGGTACAGGGATACATGAAAAAGGCATACAGGGATACGTACAGGGATACATGTATACAAGAATTCAGGGATACAAGAATACAGGGGTACAAGGATACAGGGATACAGGGATACAGGATATAGGGATACAAGAATACAGGGATACAAGGATACAGGGATACAAGGATACAGGGACACAAGGATACAGGGATACAAGGATACAGGGATACAAGGATACAGGGATACAAGGATACAGGGATACAAGGATACAGGGATACAGGAATACAGGGATACATAAATACAGGGGTACAGGGGTAAAGAGATACCAGAATACAGGATTACAGGGATACAGGGGTACCGTTGTGCATCCGACCCACAGTAGGTCGGCTACACTAACTTTTTTAATGAAGTGTGTATCCGACCTACAGGCTACAGTACATCATACCACGAAGTATCGTAGGACGGATTTAACGTTGGGCGGATGTAATCCAGTCAGGAATTTAACCCACCTAATATTTCTCGTTACATGACATTAAAGTAACTTTATCTCCCTACACTACAATACAACAGGGCGATAAAAGTAATGTTTTCGACCTGCTATTGAAATTTCAAATTTCATACCTAATATTTCCAGTTGCAGGGCGATAAAAGATATAGTAACTTTATCGACATCCAAGTAAATAAGTTGGGTAAAATTGCTTGCGAAAAAGTGTTTGCTGTAAAGTTTACTTTTTGTACTTAATGATACCCATTACAATAATTACTTAAATAGATATTTTGGTTTTACAGGCTTTCTTCGATACTTACAAAAATACGCTATATGTCAGTACTCAGTACAACTGAGGGTTTTGATTACTTCTTTCACTATACTGCGATAGGAATATATTTAGTCAATATTCACTCTAATAGAGAAGCTCTTACACTTATTGAAAATACAAAGTTTTGTATAAAATGGTTTGATGTGTCCATTGTCCAGAGTCAGTAACTTAAGAGAGTTTTGATGAACTAACCCCTATTCGCGAATCCGAGTTTTTCTAACGAAAAAATTCCAATACCATTAAACTTTGTCAGATCAAGTATGAATTATATATTAATGTTTATAATTGTGAAAACCGATTTTTTCAACTGTGGTGTCTCTCTACAAATGTGACTTTTGCATTTCTTCGGGAAAACATAATTTACCAGAACTAAATACTTTTAAATCTAGAAAAACGACAATATCTTCCATATTATTGATCAGATTAAGGTTTTAAAGGTACCGTTGTGAATCAGGCATTGTCATTTTTGTCATTTTCCGATTCACAATAGTGCACTTGAAATCTCCATCCGAGTAAAAGTGAAGAAGATATCGTCGTTCTTTTTCATAAAAAAGATACATTTTTTAATTTAAATAAAAATTTTGTAATTTTTGTAAAAAATAGTGTCAAGGGTTCAGTTGTGAATCGGCCATGCCACATTTTCATGAGTTTGTCACTTGAAAAAGCGCTCACCTCCCCCTTTCCCCTCCAGTATCTCAAAACCCAGTTCCATACCAACACCTTGTATTAAGTTTCCATCTCATGCTGGCCGGGACCAATTTACAAATGTGTACTTGTC